CATCCCAGACACCACATGCTATGCCAGCCCCACCCCCACAGTGGGCTGAGCCAGCCACTGAGTCCAGGCATAGTGGCTTATGCTTGTAATCCCAGTGCATGGGAGGTTGAAAACACTGTGAGCCCAAGCTTTGTAGTGAGACCCTGTAACAACCAAACACATTTTTTTAAAAAGAAAGAAATGCAGCTCATGGACTTTCACCTAGAACTTGGAAATGCAGATTCTCATGCCCTGCCCTGGACTTAATGACTTAGGAGATTTGGAGTAGGCCAAGTGTACATGTACATGTGTAGGGACTCTGATCATACTTATCTGTGAGCAGCAAAACTTGCTCATAATTGATCAGAGCTGATTGCTTAGTTGACATGAGCTGTTCTTTGGTGCCTGGGCTGAAGCTTCAAGTCTATGGCAGTCAGATGGGAAGAAAGATGTGAGATGGGGGAAGTAAGAATTACCTAAACCAGTGGAGCTGAGTTGAGATCCATGTGGGTCTTTGACCTTTAAGACTCCTACATTCAGGATGAGGTGTCCTACTGGGCCTCCTCATCATGCTGTTAAATAGCATGATGCCCAAAGAGTGAAAGCAGTGGCAGCAAAGACCCCATGCACTAGGGAAGTTGTCCAACGTGCTGTGAAAGGCACCACCAGGTGGCCACCAGGTCTCAGGGCTGCAAGCTCACCTCCCTCAGGTGCGAGGGAGAAGGACCAGCCCTCTACCCACTTTCTGTTCTTTGCAGCTGGGTAGATTGGGCTCAGCAGAGATGGGAAGTGTGGAATGGCGCATCTGGCTCAGCTACATATGCTGCACAAATCCACCCCACTGTATAGATAGCAGCTTCCAGGAATCTTTATCATTCTTGCTCTTTCTTGTTCCATCACTCTCTGTGTACTGTAGGAGGACTGCAGTAGACTGCATTCTACTGTAAGAAAGACTTTTTCCTTCTCTCTCATTTATTTATATTAGCATGCACTTGAGTCTTACTTTTTTAATTTTATTTGTTTGGTCCTGGGAATTGAACTCAGGCCTTGAGCTTGCCAGGCAGGCACTGAGCCACTGAACTATATATCTCTGACTCAAGTCTCAGTTTGTTCCATTGTTGATACTGTTTTTATCTTTTTTTGTTTTAAGTTCAAATTGTCCCAGATTTGGCCAACAAAGGCCTGTTCAACCTGCTTTTATGTCTTTTTAGCATGCCATTCTTTGATTAATTTCTTACTGTCTTGAATAAGACCTTTCAGGCTCATCTGATACTTTTTCTTCCTAATCCTGGATTTTGTCCTTTTTTCAAGAAGCCCTGAGACCTTTTAGTGGTGGTCAAGATCTGACATTAGCTCCGCACTGCTAATGTGTCATTGCCTCTAGGCACTAGTGGAGGAAAGACAGAGCACATGCATGTACACAAAGAGCCTGCACGTACATATACACGTGCCCACACACTTGTGCACAGGGAGCCATGCAAGTACATGTACACACTCTTACATTCACATAACAAATGTGTAACGTGTACTATAATCATATGGGACACCTCCAATCTCTACTTTATTCAAGCACCATAAGGGACATTTTAGTTGTCTACTCCCTGTTACCAGAGTTGTAACTGCTTCCTCCAGCAGTGAGAAAAGTAGACTTAGTTTATTTTACTCATTAATGACAACTGATTTATATAAATTATGGAGAAGACAAATTGTATTGCATGCCTGTAGTCCCAGCACTCTAGGCAGCTGAGACAGAAGGATCACAAGTTCAAATCCAGCCTGGACAACTTAGTGAGACTCAAATTTTAAAAAGGAGGATGCTAAGGATGTGGTTCAGTATGAAAGTCCTGAATCCCCCGTTATGGAGAAGAGGAGGATGATGAGGGAAAGAGGAGGAGGACAAAAAGGTGGAGGAGAAAGAGGAGAAAATGAGAGAGGACAGTCACTTCAGACCTTCACCCCAGCCTGAGTAGCATAAAGTAGGATGCTTCTCCCTCTGACACCTCCCTTTGCTCTGTTTTCTGGCCACCAGGAGAGCAGCTCATCCTCTGCCGCAGCACTCTGCCATGTTTTCCTGCCTTGGGGCCAGCTGATTACAGACTGAAAAATATGAACCAAAACAAATCTCTTGTCCTTTGAGTTGTGGATGTCGAGTATTTGTCCCAGAAATGGGAAAGTGACTAGGATGGATTTGTGGCATTGCAGAATAGAGAAATAAAAGAATAACGATACTAATAACCAGAGACCTTGAAGCTGAACTTCCAAAATGGCCCAGCTATCTCAAATTGAAAGCAGGTTTCCTTACTGGATAGCCTCGGGGTAGAAAAATATTAATGGCCGAGCTTATCCAGCCCATAGCAAGGATCTCTGAAATTCACAGCAGGTAATAGGAGGCTTAAAAAGCAGCTTAATACTTTTGCTAAGTATGTTAAAAATAGCCAGGAAAGTGACAGCTGGAGTTGGGTGAAGGTTGGGAAGGTTACCAGTTGAACATCCTTGATCCGGGCTACAATCCAAAATGGTCCAAAATAGGAAACTTCTGAATGCCAATAAGATACTACAAGTAGAAAATTCTACACCTAACCTTATGTGACAAATCATGAAGTACAGGCGCACTACAAGTGTTGGCTAACACTATGCTCACTATTATATATAAAATATATATATGTATATATATTATATATATAATATATACATATATATTACATGTATATATAATGTATTTGACATAGGGTCTATAGGGTCTTATTACACAGATCAAACTCGTCCTGATCCTCCAGTTTTCAGCCTCCCAAGCGCTGGGATTACAGGCACGCGCCACCACGCCCAATCTCAATCATTATCTCAGTGAGCCCCGAGGACGGGGCTGGCACAGCATGCTGGGGATCAAACCCCAGCCTCTGTACTCTGCCTAAGCAGGTACTTTAGTCTGCTGAGCTATCTGGCTGGCTCTATAATGGAAATATTCTGAAAAAAATTTTAATTGAAACATTTTTGGTCCCAAGTACTCTAATAACAGATACTCAACCTATATTCACCAAAATATAAGTGATCTTTACCAGTTATTGGGAAGAAAAGTTATAGAGGAGGAAGCCACAGAGTCCCTAGAAAAAGGAATTGTTGTGAGCAACTTTCCCCTGTGCGCTCTTCCCCTTGCCTTTCTGGCTTGAAGCCACTGACTATGGACTTAAACCTCTACAGACTAAAAGCCAAACTTCTTTAAGTTGTGGGTGTCTGGTATTGTGTTCCAGTGAGGAGGAAAGTCACTAACACATCTCTCCTCTCAGGTATGTAAAATGTGTCACACTTAACAGCATACAGGACAGAAGTGACGGTCAGGGAGGAAGCTGAGCTAAGTGTAGTACTCACTGTGAATGGAGGGAGGAGGAGTAGGTCTGGCGGTGAAGGGATTGCACATCTACTGGAACCCATGAGGACTCCAGTCTATGTGGTACATGATGACATGTTCCATTTGATAGCAACCAGCCTTGATGGAGAGAATCTCAGGATACCAGTCTCAGTATTCACAGTGACAGTGGCTCATAACACTTTATTGCTGCTCTGGTGACTAGTATTGCTTCAACCCTTTAAATCTCAAGTGAGTGGTCACAGATGCCCTATTTCAAAATGTGCTACGGACGCTAAGAAGATGTAAAACACATAGAAGATGTGCAATAATTTGCTGACACAAATTCTGAATCTAAAAACATCACAGAAAATAAAGAAGACTGAAGAAAGGTGATCCAAGAAAGAGCAGGAGATTCAAAACATAGACATTTGAAATTAAAATTGTTCGGCAAAGCTTAACTTGATGCTTATGTGGTAAGCAAAAATGTTTTGGAAGGGGCTCAGACAAGTTACTATCCAAAGACTCAGAGAGGGAGAGAAAGATAAGGAGGAAGAAAGTACAGCAACAGAAAGTCAACAGATATGCCACTGCCAACAGCCCCCAAATGGAAGTGGGCAATATGTCCGTCTCTTCTTATCAGGACCTTAGATACTTTTTATGCTATCAGGAGGGGAATGTTGGAGAAGGAGCTCAGTGTCTTGTACAAGCTACACGAGTGCTACCACTGAACTATACCCCAGCCCAAGCCCCCTAGATAGTAAATTGTAAAACTTTATTACAAAGCACAACTAGTACACCACTGCCAGGATTTTTAGCTGCAATTTTGGAGTCTGAGTCCAATTCCAGTAGACTCTTTTGGCTTACTCCACTTTGCTTCTAGTTTCTTCAGAAAAATGTGACAATAATCAGATGATTTGGTTATATGTATAGAAATAAGACAGATTGGACTTACTACATTAGACAGTCACAGTCAAGGCTTTTATTGAGGAAGAGCGTTTATCCATTGATTCTTTTAACAAGTCTTTCTTGTGCACCTGCTGTTGCCAGGTTCTATATTGTCTCAGGAATATGATGTTGAAAGAAATCTGCCTTCCATAGTTCAGAAGACAGATGGTGAGACACCTGTCAATTACACAATCTCAGTGTCTTAGTGTAAACTATGAAAGAGGCTACAGAGAGAAACAGAATTATGAAACCAGGTTACTGGGTAGGTGACAAGAGGTCTTCCTGAGAAGGGGAGGTTGCAGTTAACTAGGAAGAAGAGTGGGGCATAGCCAGCCAAGATGGGCAGGGCCAGGTATGGCAGAGCCTTGGAGACTTCTTAAGGATTTCAGTTTTTTCCATTAGCAATGTGAACTCAAAGACTTGGTCCAGTGTGGAGAGAGTGTGTGAGACAGACGAGAAATGGAGAGTGAGGGAAGAGGTTTATTGATGACCTCCGAGTCTTGAGCTAGCTGGATGGCTGCCATTTAAGGTACTCTTCTGGAGTGCTTCTACATGTGGTAGATGTCCTTCCTGGTCACCTTCCTTATGCTTGAAACTTCCTCCTAAGGGGCTGTGAGGACAAGCTGGGTCCTGGTAATAGAGTTCTCTGTTGATGGCCACTAGTTCCCTTGGGAACCCCTTGTGACAAGCTAAAGCCTTTTCATCTTACCTCTCTCTCACCCTTTTGCAGGTGCCACATGTCCTACCCCTACATCTGTTGAACATGCAGACATCCAGGTCAAGAGTTATAACTTGCACTCCAGGGAGAGATACGTTTGTAACTCTGGGTTCAAGCGGAAAGCTGGCACATCCAGCTTGACTGAGTGTGTGTTTAACAAGACCACAAACATTACCCACTGGACAACTCCCAATCTCAAGTGCATCAGTAAGTAGCTGGTCACTACCACTGTCCTCCACCCTTCTGCCAAGGCTGAACAGAGAGCAGAACTTCACTGTGGGAACTGGGTGATCCTCTCTTGTGGCCAAAAATTCAGTGTTGAGGTCTGAAGTTAAATATGCCATCAGGCCACTAAGCAATGCTCCTGGAGGTAGAAATATGCAGGTCTGTGGTCATACAACTCCAGGCTGAATTCTGGCTCTGCCATGTCCCAAATTCAAACCTAACCTTCTGGAACTCTGGTTGGTCATCTAAACGTTAAATCTGGTGTCAGTACTCTTGTAGAATTAAGTGGGCCCTGGTAAATATTAACTATTAATACTGTCAGTTCCTGTTTAGAAATGATGATATCAAGACTTGGCTACAGAAAAGATATGCTGATGGGCTGGGTAGATAACTCAGTAGAATAAGCACCTGCCTGGCAAACGCAGGGTCCTGAGTTCAATCCCTGGTACCACAGGAAAAAAAAAGAAAAGATGCCTTCATACACAGACTTGCTTCCAGGAAGCCTTTTGGCCTTGTCATGAAGAGGTGAAACCCAGGGGGCTAGGGTGGGGCAGAGTTTCCCTTGACTTAGTCACTTATATATAGTGAAGCTCAAGCAAAGCTCAAGCTCATCAGTAAAGATGAGAATGGTTGAATCAATTTTTTAACCATCCACAACTGGATAATCCTGAAGAAGCCAAATACTCTGAGGATGGAAGCTACTCAATGCAATTTCCAGGAATACTAAACCTTGTTCTCTTCACCTCTTTCTTCCTAGAGAAAAATAGTTAACCCGTGGTCTTCCAGTAATTCTGATTTACCAAGCATTCATTACTATTCAGTGCTTATTCAGTTGTAGCTAAATACATTTTCATCACATATTTGTGAAGATTCCTAGCTCCTCTCCGGGACAGGGGATAGAGGCAGCCGTCCCACAGCAGTCTCCCTCTGCTGGAAGCTTGTGGCTGAGCCAGATGTTCTTAAGGGTTTTGTGGTGTTGGATTACCCCTTCCCCTGTGCCTTTAGAATGAAAGTCACACAGATGTCAGAAGGGAAGAAGGGAATCCTGCCTCTCGTTTCCAGGAATCACAGGGCAAGAAATGCAGCATGTGGTGGCACTGAATGCAGTTGAAGGGGAAAACCCAGTGAGGTCAAGGACAAGCATGACTTGGACCCAGAAGTGGAAAATCAGGGCTTTTCCACTATTGGGAAAGTTATGTTTTCTCAAAGTTCCCCATCCTTTGGGTGAATGAATCCAGAGCAAAGAAGAGCTGCAGGCTCCAAACAGGGCCAAGAGTGAGGAGAGAAAAAAAAGAACCTGGAATTAGAATTTTATTTTTATTTATTTGTTTACTTATTTATTTTATTTATTTTCCTGTATTTAGGAGAGGGTCTACAGGGTTTGCAGGGTCTCACTACGTAGGTCAGACTCATACTGAGTCTCCGGCTTTCAGCTTCCCAAGTGCTGCGATTGCTGGGGATGTAGCTCAGTGGCATAAGCACCTGCCTGGCAAGCACAAAGTCCTGAGTTTGATGCCTGGTACTGCAAAAAATAAAATAAAATAAAATCCATTTAGGGGCTGGGGCGATAGCTCAGTAGGATAAGTGCTTGCCTGGCAAGAGCAAGGCAATCCCTGGGCTCAATCCCTGGTTCTGCCAAAAAAACAAAAACAAAAAACAAACCAAGTGCTGGGATTACAGGTGCACACCACCACGCCCAGTTTCAGTTGCTCTTTTAAGTACCCCAGGGGCTGGGCCACACAGCAGGCTGGGGATCAAACCCCAGCTGCTGCACTCTGTCTAAGCAGGCACTTCCGCAGAGCTATCAGGCTGGCCCTGGAATTAGAATTTTAGAGCTCATAGTCTAGAGGAATCTCTAGATTTAATCTGATCCAAAGGTTCTGCCCCTCAAACTTTTGTAACTAACAGCTGCTTTCATTTTCCCTCAATCTCTTGTATGTTTTTTTTCCTGCTAAATAAATGCAATCTTGTGAGGGATCATTTATTTTCCCATGAAAAATTTAGATTACTAAACTGAGCTGACAGCATATTTTTTCCAACCCAGAATTTTAAAATGCTACGCTTAAACTGTGCAATCTTTTTGAAAATGCCAGAGAAATTATTTGCAGTCTGTGCCTTTGGATGGGGAAATCTTGATTGTTCATTTCCTGTTCTTTTATCTTGTCCTAGGATGCCAACTAACACCACTTTAAATTTAGATATTGAATTTTGAAATTTAGTCCTGAATCTACCCCAGTTTCCACCCTCAAATGCCATGTGGTTATCCTCTCTCTAGGACATCCCTCCCTGCCTCACCAAAAGCCAGTGCCACCCTCTGCAGTAGTGACGGCAAGGGTGACCCCAGAACCAGAGGGCCCCTCCCCTTCTGGAAAAGGTAGGAATGTTGGAAGCTTCAAGGACTACCGTCTCCAGATCCTCCCTCCCCTGCCAGTCCCCCAGATTTATTGACTACTGGTGTTCCTCTACACATTCAGGAAACAGATTTTAATTTTTTAAATTAAAATCAAGGATAAGAGAAGACAGCAATATGCAATGTATTAATTATTGAAACTGTCCTATTAATAGGTTTTGAAACTGTCTCATTGCTATTTGTTTCTCAATAAAATTAATTTAAAAAATCAAGAACAAGGTCTGTTAGGCACATTTATCTCCACCAATAAGACTCTAGTGACTTCTGCAGCTCTCTTCCTAGTGTAGAGAGAGATAGGTGAAGATTTCCTTTATAGAGACAAACTTCCCTTATTAAAGGACAGCTAGTTTATTTACAAAAAAAAAAAAAATCAGGATAAGAACTTGGGGCTGGGGAGATGGCTCAGTGGAATAAGCACTACCCTGGCAAGCACAAGGCCTGAGTTCAATCCCTGGTTCCGCAAAAAAAAAAAAAAAACCTTATAGGGACTAAATTTGTGGTACCAGGGATTGAACTCAGGACCCTGCGCTTGCCAAGCAAGCACTTATTCTACTAAGCTATCTCCCCAGCCCCAGGACTAACTTTTTTTAAAACGAAAGTTGTTTTAATTCACAAGTGCATAATCAGTAGTGGGTCAGAATCCCCCATTAGTATGCCAGACCATGTTTATTTGTAAACACTTATCCTTGTCAAGACTGGGAAGAGTCCTGAGATTTGACCTCACTTGTTTATTAGCTTGCCATAGTGCCATGGGTGTTGACACAGCAATGGAGACACAAAGGCCTTTCCTGCACTGCACACAGGCAGCAGGAGCATCATCAGCGAATTCACACGGAATCCTTGTCTCCAAGGCCCACAGGGACCACAAAAACAGATCTGCACATTCAGAAAACTACATCTTCAGAGAGGAAGCCTACACTCAGGAACCTAAACGTTTTGTAATTGGCAGCAAATATATCTGCTGTTCTCCAGAAGGTGTGGTATCTGTCTTCTGAGGCACTTGTTATTTACAGATCCGTGAAAAGATAGTCTGGGGAAAGGGCTTTTAGACCCCTGTTTGCAAGATACGTAGCAATGTGAGGGACCCATGGAGAGTTAGCTCCCTCAGGTCCTAAGCGTCAGCACAGTAACAATGATGTTTTATTATAGAAGCATTGCAGAAAACCATTAATGTGTATTTCAGCTAAGTTTTAGGTAATCTCCCATTCCAATTTCCTCAGCACTTTTTTTATGTTAAAAATTTTGAAATCTTGGGCATTAAATATCTTGACATCATAGGCCTATGATACCCTTATCTTATATGGAACTCTTGATTTTTTAATGTCACATCATCTAGTTTGTATCTTTTCCCAGCCATTTGACCTCTCCTTTTCTCAGGTGTAGACACCTCTGTTCTCACCCCTTCTGCCTTGCTTGGTCATACTTTCCCAGAGCACTGGCTCTCGGCCATTGGTGAGATCACTGAGGAACTCCAGTTGGTCTAGGGGTAACCTGGGAATAAGTGTGTCCTAGAGCTTCCCAGGTGATTCTTCATCTGAGCTGAGGACTGTAGCTTGAAGTGGGATGGTGTTTTGGTTTGTGTCTAGTTGTCCCCCCAAAGCCTCATGCAGTCATGAGGTGGCTTCTCGAGTTTGTGATTGATTATTGTGGGTGTGGATGCTGTACCTGCCCTGGGGCAGGTAATTTTCATTACAGTGTTAGGAGGGGAGAGAGGCTAGCTAGCCGCCTAAGCTGCTGCCACTCCCTTTGTTCTCTTGCTCTTTGTTACTACCATGGAAGGTTGCTCTCTGCCCTGTGCCACTTTGCAGCCAGCCAAGTAAGGACTGAACCTTCCACTGACTATGAGCTACATAAACCTCTCTTCATTTTGTGTGTTGGGTATTTGTCCCAGCAATGAGAGAAAAGTAACCAAGACAGATGGAGAGGCTGAAAAGAGGCTGCTGAGCTTGACACCACCCTCAGTCATATACTGAGACACCATCTAGAAAGAAAGAAGGGAAAGAAAACACAAGAGGAGAAGAAGGAAATACTTCTTACTTCTAGCAAATAACTTGCTTGTAAAGTTGTAAAGTGACTTGGTTGTAAAAGAGTGAGGTATTGGCTTAAGTCTGGAGTAATTCCCAAACTCCTTTGATCTGAGTCACATCGGGATCACCTACAAGATGAGAAAGATCCAGTAGCTTCTCCAAGCCCTGACCCTCTGACTCAAATAGTGAGTTGCCCATTGCTATGACAGAACTGTTCAGTAAAAGCCTCACATGTGAACCTAACCCTTTGCTGGGGGCTGGGGCTAATGGCACTTGTTCTAGGGGATTCTATCTGCTCACAGCTTGGGCAGGGGGAGGTGCCGACCCTTTGATTGAAGGGTACGAGGACTTCTCTAAACATGTGGCTGAGAGAGCTTGGGGACTCAGGGCACACAGGTCATGTCGGGCCTCCCCTGGTGCTTTATTCCAGGGCTGTATTTCCCAAGTTTCGTGGTTGTTGTAGGGGAAGGCCAGTTTTTTCATAAAAAGGGGAAGTTAGGCCATACCTTGCTGTTCAGGAGCAGCCACCTGCCATTAGGGAGAAAAGAAGAACCTAAATGTTAGACAGCCTCCTCTCATAAGAGTATACTTCCTTCAGGGTTTGGGCAAAGTGAAACATAGGTTTCCTCTTCCAAAAATGTGTCAACATTTGAAAAACAGTTAGCATCTACTGCCCTTGGTAAACACAGCTCCACTTGTGTTTTGGAGCCAGGTCTTCTGCATTTCCTGTGCTTTCTCCAGGAAATAGAGGAATCCATTCAAAACTATGGGATCTTTTCTTTATGTGCACTATGACAAAGAGCTGTATCCTTTAAGTTTTCACAAGTCTAGTGACCTCAGTGGGTGAACGTATAACCCACTCAAGGGCAGTTTGCTGGGAGAGGGCTGGCCAGGGTAGGCTCAGGGGAGTAAGCCCTGTGTTGACTGTGCTAGACCTGAGAAGACACTAATTGAAATATTTATGTTCTACCTGTCTTGGAATTTCCTACAGAGCCAGCAGCTTTATCTCCCAAGTCAGATACCACAGAGACAGCCACTGTACCAAGGCCCTGGCTGATGTCATCCAAACCACCTTCTGTAGACACCACGGGGGTAGGCAGTCATGAGCCCTCCCAAACCCCATCTCAGACAACAGCAGTGACCTTGGAGCACATGCCCTCTACTTCCCACGAGACACCAGGTTAGCACAAGCTTTGCATGAAGATAGGCCAGTTTCCCACTTGCTGCTTCTGAGACTTGGGTTCAGATCTGGTGCAAGATATCTGAACAGCTTCATACCGTTCAGTCCAAAGTCAGCACTGACCAAATTACTCTGTTTGCTTTTACCTGCTGTAGACCCTTAGCCTGGCATTTGCTCGTGTGTCTTGCCAGTGGTTCAGCAGGGTCATCTTCCCCCTCCCAGATGGGACATGGCTAACCTTAACCTGCTTGCAGAACGTATGCCAGGGCAGAACCTCTGAATCCCAGCTGCACCCTCCTACTGTGGAGGGAGGCGGAAGCAGTCCCCAGCCTGCAGTTGTGGTAGAAGCCCTCTGCGACCTGTGCAATGCTCCTCTAAGGCATCTGTGATTCTGAGGTGCAACCTAGCACCTCACTGCATTACCCTGCTTGTTCTTTGCTGAGATAACTTCGGTTGTGTTAGCCTTGTGTTGCCTTAGGTTCTGAGAGGAGATCCAAGTTGTCCGTTGTTTCTCCAACTTCTGAGCAGCTAGTGCCTTCAGGAGCCTCACCTGATTAAGCTGTCCTCTCTCTTCTACAGGTGCTCGTCAACACAGCTCCAGAGAAGGCATAAGTAAGTACTTTCACTTGTCTGCTGTGTTTATAATCAGGGTGGCCCCAGACCTGCATGCTAAGCAGTCCTGAGTCGCACTCCCCAGCACATCACTGATGGTGTCTGCTTTCCCTCATGAGAGTGTTAGCCTACTGTGGTGCTGCACACCAGGAATCCCATTACTCAAGAGGCTGAGGCAGGAGGATTGCTGTAAGTCTGAGGCCAACCTGGACTACATAGTGAGTTCAAGGCCAGCCTGAACTACATAGCAAGACCTTGTCTCAAAAAAAAAGAATGGGGGCTGGTGAGATAGCTCAGTGGTCTAAAGCACCTACTTAGAACAAGCATAGCAAAGCACAGGGACCACGGTTCAATCCCCCAGCACCACATGCCAGACAGCCCTGCCCCCTGGTGGGCTGAGCTGGCCACACACACACACACACACACACATAAATAAAAAATAAAAAAGAAATAAATAAAACAAAGATTATTTTAAAAAAAGAATGTCTCTATTATGTAAGTTATAAAATATTCTATTGATGAAATTTTTAATTTGACAAGACTGTCTTAGTACTGGTAGCTTCTAACTGTCAGACTATTAATGTTGAAACCAAAGAGTTGATGCCCACACAAAGGGTCTACTGGATCAGCTGTTAACAGGTCTCCTCAACCTGGCTAGACTTGTATCTAGTGCATTTGACACTACTGTGCCTGCTGCCACCAACAAGATGAAGCCATGCTTCTGCTGGGAGCTGCATGGACCTCTCCCAGGGTGGGCAGCATGCACTCCGCAGAGAGGCTGTCCAGATTTCTTAGTACAAAAGGATTCTTAAAAAAAAAAAAAAAAAAAAAAAGATACACAGTCACAGTCAAAGAAAATATGGGAGTATAGGAAGAAATAGAAAGTGTTTGTGAGAATGGAAGAAAAAGATGAAGTGAGAAGAGGTGAGCTCAAAGAAGAATGGAACTCAAGAGGCAGAGAGGTGGAGCGGGGGTGGAGCTCAGTGGGAGAGCCCTGCTTAGCAGGTGGGAGGCCCTGGGTTGGATCCTGGGCACTGAAAAACAAGAACAAGGAGACAGAAATATGGACAGTGATAGAGTCTAATGCTTTAGAAGGAGAAAAAACCAACTGTAATTCATAATGAGGGCAAATAATAATTTCATAACTTTTCATGATAGAGATGGGTCACACCCTGTAATGGCATTGTACATATCTGCGTCAAGTGTCATCTATGGAAGAGGGGCTTCAGACATAATACCTGTTAGTTGGTTAGAATGATTTTTTTTTTTCCAGTACCAGGGATTGAACTCAGGACCCTGCACTTGCCAGGCAGGCGCTTATTCTACTGAGTTATCTCCCCAGCCCTAGAATGACTTTTTAAGTGATCAATTCATATATACAAAGATAAGAATTTTAGAAAGGTTCTTTAAAGAGCATTTTTCGTGGAAAAATTGTGATTTTTACTGACAAGGACATGGCAACGATACATGTTCATAATTTAAGAGGAGAGCAACAGATAAGTAACCAGCCTTTCTCCTTACATTACATTTTGCATTACTCTTTCCACAGGTTTACATTTTTTTTAACTAGTAATAATTTGTACATGGCCTAAAAGTCAAATATTACAAAGAAAAATATAATAAAAAGTCCCATATCTGACTCAGAACATCCTTGCAGAAGAAAAGCAACCCTCAGGGCTGGAGAGATAGGTCAGTGGCATAAGTGCCTGCCTGGCAAGCGCAAGGACCCGAGTTCAATCCTCAGTACCGCACACCATGCTGGCCCTGGAACTGGGCACGGTGGAATACGCCTGCAGTCCCAGTGCTGGGAAGGCTGAGAAAGGAGGATCACTATGAGTCCGAGCTGCACAGTGAGACCCTGTATCAAAGAATAAAAATAAAATAAAATAAAAAACCAGACCTCTGCACATCCTTCCAGAGAGGCAGTATAAAAACACACACAGAGTGAAGGATTTTGACAGTTTTATGTTCACCATTCTGCTCTTGCCTTTCACTTCATGGCGTATGTTGAAAACCCTTCTGGACCAGCACACAAAACTGCCTTGTTCTTTTGGACACCATAGTATGTTTGATTGTGAGACTCCCCCTGAATTTATTTTTTTAGTGTCCTCTTAGGATATGTGATTGCTTACATTCTTTGGGTATAGAGACCGGGGAGATGGCTCAGTAGAATAAGCGCTTGCCTGGCAAGTGCAAGGGCCTGAGTTCAATCCCTGGTTCCACCAAAAAAAAAAAAAAGCATTTGGTCTATTATTAGTAATTAACTGAAAATCTAGACATATGAATGCATCTCTTGGATAAAAGACCTACATGATCTTTTATGTGAACACCTACAGGTTACCTGTGTAAAACTTTCTATGTAGATCTTCAAGCAACTATTTGATTTTTTTGTTCGTTTGTTTGTATTTAGTACAGGGTCTCACTATGTAGATCAGACTCACAGTGATCCTCTGCTTTACAGCCTCCCATGTGCTGGGATTACAGGTGCGTGCCACCACGCCCAGTCTCAATCGCTGTCTCAACATGGGGGGAGGGGCAGCACCGCAGGCTGAGGATCAAACCTCTGCCCCTGGGTCTGCCTAAGCAGGCGCTTTAATCCGCTGAGCTGTTTGGCCAGCCCTGCAATTATTTGATTTTAATCAATACTAAATTATAATTATTTTTCTGGTTCAGGACTTTCACTGGATTAAAATACTGATTTTCACTCAACTTCTGAAATGTAATATAATAAACATTATGTGAATACCTACAACTTACCTGTGTGTAAAGAATTGTGGAAATATAGATTTTTTTAAAGAAATACTTTAAATATTTCATGTATAAAGTTTCCTTCTTTTAAACTGCTTAAAAATAGCCAGGTGTGGTAGTGTGTGCCTATAATCCCAGCACCCTGGGAGACTGAGGCAGGAGGATTGCAAATTCAAGCCCAGTCTGGGCAAATTCGCAAGGTGGCAAGATCCTATATCAAAAAAAATACAATGGCTGAAGATGTAGCCCAGTGGAATGCCCTGGATGCAGTCCCTAGTACTGGGGGGAAAGGCTAGCATGCCCACCACAATCGCATTGATACCCCCTCCTCACTAAGTGCACCACGCATACAGTGTGTCTTGCAGAATGTTACTGTGCTCCTACTCTTCCATCTCTGAAACAGCTTCGTTGCAGTCAGTGTGGTTAGCCTTGGAGAGGTACTGCTTCTGTCTTCAAATCCTCATCTGCTCACTCACTATAAATTAATTTCCTTTCCTATGTTAGAATCCTAAACTGCTATGAAATGCACATTTCTTGTAGCAAGTGTTACTTCAGATTTACTTCAATCTAATTGAGTATGTGGCCTGAACCCTTTTTTTTTTTTTTTTTTAAGTGCTGGGGGTAGAACCTAGGGCTTGGGCCAGCCAAATAGCTCAGCGGGTGCCTGCAAGCAGGCACAGGGGCCAGGTTCGATACCAGGCCTGCCATGCCTGCCCTGCCCCAGGGGCATGGTGAGACATCAATTGAGACTGGGTGTGGTAGCACACATCTGTAATCCCAGCACAGGCGAGGCTGTAAACAGGAGTATCACTACGAGTCAGATCTAGTAGTGAGACCCTGATCATCTTGTAGACCCTTTCCTAAAAATTACAAAAAAAAAAAAAAATATATATATATATATATATATCTAGGGCTTCATGCAGGGAGGTGCCTCTACCTCTAATTCCATCCCCTGCCCCTACTGCAATGCTTACTGGGGGCCCAGTGCAGCTAAGAGGGAGTAAAGAAACCATAGCCCAGGAGTACTGCATGGATAGGACTCTCATTTCTTTGTTGTTGTTTTTTTTTTTTTTTTTTTTTTTTTTTTTTTTTTTGCGGAACCGGGGATTGAACTCAGGGATGCACGTACACAGCACTGTGGTCACAGTACTCACCAAGTTGCCTGGGTACCACTAAGGAATGAATGACTATCCTCATAGGTTCACAGAGGACAAGGCTCCCTCCACACTAGATAGTGACACTGCCTTCTCAGCTGCCTACTCCAGCTAGATCCAGTCTGCACCTAGGGAGAGCCTATACTCATGTTTTCCTCCTCTGCTCCCTTCAGGCCTTCTTTATCTCACCAAATCTTCCTGCAAGTCCACACCCTCTAACAGAAGGTTCCAGAGACGTTATCAGATCAGTTAATTCACTGTCATGGTGAATTGGTTTCAGTTTCTTTACTAACTAAAAAAGAGATTTAGGGTTTGGGTTAGGTCCCTGAATTCCAGTTGCTTTGCTTTCACTTCGGTGCAGCACCTTCCTGTCTCTAGAGCCAAAGTCTGCAGTTGTTCTCAAAGTGAAACGGGAAGGAGCATAGTGAAAGTAAAGGTTCAGTTACATAGACTTGCCTTTTCCGATAAATCATTCCACAAAGAGAAAACATAAGCAGTTAGCTAATGTGAGACATCATTTACAGTAAAATGGAACATCTCTGCTAAAAATTGGCTTCCTTTTTTGGGGTCATAATGATTAATGTCAAGTCTGAGAACTCAAAAATCACTAATTTCTCATGTTTTGTTATTTCTTTTATAACTTTTCTATGCTTCTTTATTTCCAATTTAGTTGTTTCTATAACCTTACTGTTTCTTCTGATTATAGTGTCATGCATTGCAAAAAGGGAAAAAATATTTTTGAACCCAAAATTAAGACTACCTCTAACCCCAGTGTGCTGCTTGTTCCTCAAGACTGTCTTGGCTCCAGGAACGGTGGGGGCATATCTGTAATCCAAGCGAGGAAGGAGGGTGAGGAAGACGAACACAGCCCAAAACAAAGCAGCCCCAGCAAAAAAACCCAGAACTTTTATGTATAGGTTGTAGCTTATTAGCGATTATTTTTGATTCATCTTTATCTCAACTAGCTTTTTTCATTTCAAATACTTTAGACACCTTTCCATGTTAATGTGTGTACTGTCAGTTTCATAGTTTTTGATGGAAGGATCAAATCTTGATTCCATTGTGTGAGCATAGCACATTATTAAATTATTTTTCTACTGAAGAGATTTAGATTAACATCTTGAATATTATTGGGTTTTCCTTTATTCATTTTCTCCTTTTAGCATCTTGAAAATTATCTTAAACAATACTTGACTGAATAACTTTCTAGTAGGATTAGAAAGTCTAAGAGCCCAGACTTCTCTGATGCTTTGTTATATATTACAAACTGCCCTTGTGAAAAACTGAACTAACCTACACCGGTAGCCACAAAGGCTGTCTCCCAACCTCCCTTTATTCAGCTCTTCTATACCAAAGATGTACTCCAAGGCCAAGCCTTGGGACATTTTTCTGGTCCTAGAGCTTTGGTGTCCTGTGAGCCATATGTGACTGGTACCCTCAGTGAGACAGCAACTTCTCCACATGGCCACCCTTTGTTACCTGCAAGTAGGGCAGCTGGGTGATTTTGTTTTGCTTTGTGACAAGGTATCACTAGGTAGTGCGTGCTGGCTTTGAACTGTGTAGCCCAGGCTGGCCTCAGCCTCGCAGTGATCCTCTTGCCTCAGCCTCCCAAGTGCTGGGATTACAAATACACACCACCATTCCCGGCTTTGCTGGGTGATTTTTGCAGGGAAATTTCACCATAGTAAGGGCAAACCCCAAATGTGAGTGTTCTTAACACTTCTGTTCCTATCACACTTGAGCTAAGCCTCCTTGCTCACATGCAAAGACCTCCGCTTTGTGTGCTGTCCGGTGAGTCTCAGGTGAAGTCAGGGCTGCTCAGCTGACTCTCACAGGTGTCCCCAGACTCCACAATATTCCCTTTAACTCAAATACGTTTCCTGCCTTCATTAGTCTTCACCTCACCCTCCTCTTACCTGACACCTCTTTCTCCTTACCACTCTTCCTCTGCCATAAAGTTGCATCTTTTTTTTTTTTTTTTTTTTTTTTTTGGCAGAACCGGGGATTGAACTCAGACCCAAAGCACTTATTCCACTGAGCCATCTCCCCGGCCCCATAAAGTTGCATCTTAAAAAGGAAATGAATATGGAATCAGAAGGAAAATAGCAGTGTATGCTCATGTTCCTAAAGCAGTGAGGTTGAAGGAAAGGAGGGCTTGAGGAGTGTTTCCCTCTGTGTTTCCTCAACCCAGGATGAAGAAGCAGAAACACCTACCGAAGTTGATCTCTCCATCCTGCTGCTGCCCGTCACCCTGCTCTCATGTGGCACGTCTTCCTTCCCTCCCTGTTCTTACTCCCAGGCTCTTAGCCCAAGAAAGACCAGACTCAGGGATGTGGAATAACTTGATTGGAGAAGTTCAGACCATCCGTGTGGGCAACGAAAGGGGGTGTGGACCTGCCTGGGTTAGAACAGAGCCAATTGTAGGGCCTGAAGCAAGGTTAATGGTAGCAAGCTGGTTGGAAAAGCATTGCAATCTATGTGCAAGGATAGACACTGTGAAGAGTTAACTGAGCCTTTGCCAGGAGGGTGCTCCTGCAGTGCTCACGTGGTTCCAGCTTAGTTCTGTTCTTTTACAGTAGCCGGCTCAACATCTGCTGTGATTATCGTAGTGTGTGTGGTAGCCCTGCTGGTGGCGAGTTACTGCAGATCAAGGTGAGTGATGCAGGAGAATCAGTCTTCTTTCCCACTATAAAGAGTTAATATAAAGATTCTGAGATGCCCTCTCTAAGGAAGACTCACATTCACCTCCTTCTGTATCCCCCCAAAGAAGCATCAAGGCTGAGCAGGGCTGAGTCAGTCTTAGCCCTTCCCTCCCCTCATGGTTCTCAGCCCATTCATGTGAAATGGAGGCAGTGTATATGGGTCTGTGGTGTAACATATATGCCTAGAGTGTGTGGCATCAGGGCTGGGGATATAGCTCGGTGGTACAGTGCCTTCCTGGCAAGCGTGAGGCCGGGAGTTCGTTTCCTGGTACCATGCCTCCCCCTCAGAAAAAGTACTGAGTTCAATCCCCAGCAACACCCCCGCCAAAGAATGTACCCAATGACCAATATGATGAATATATAATTTGTATTATTGTTTTTACGATACATTCCTATGAATATTCTTCTCATATAGATCCATTAGTATGGGCATACTTACTCATAGGGAACTTAATTCTGTATTTCTAGTACTTAAATTTCTGTATTTTGGTTTTTGTGATATTACTGCCATTTGCTGAAATGTACCAGGTTTGTTTTTCAGTTTTTCAAACAGGCTCTCACTGTGTAGTTCGGGCTGGCCATGAACTTGCTATGTGTTATAGGCTGACCTCAAACTTGTGGTAATACTCCTGCCTCAGCCTCCCAAGTGTAGGGATTACAGGATTACACCAGCATGCCTGACAGAAATATCACATTGTATATTTTTCCTAATCTGTGCCTTCTCTAATCTTTAGGTTTCTTTTCTTTTCTCTCCTTTCTTTCTGAGACAGGGTCTTGCTTTACAGTTCAGGCTGGCCTTGAGCTCACTTTGTAGCCCAGGCTGGTCACAAACTCACAATGATCCTCCTGCCTTTGGGCATTTTTAGGTTATTAGTATTATTGAGACAGGTTCTTGCAGTGTGGTTCAGTCTGGCCTCGAACTTCCAGCTCCAAGTGCTGGGATTATAGGCATGTGCCACCATACCTGGCATTTTTGTCATTCTTTAACCAAACCCTTAATCAAAATGCAACACCCCTGTTATTCAGAGCTGATTAGTATATTAATTTAAAAAAAATACTTAACTGAGTGCTAAGAACTGTTTTGAATCATCTGGATCAATATGATCAAGTCTGGTCTGACCAGACTTCTGGTTACCCTTTCCCTTTGTGGACCCTGCCGTCTGCATTGCTTCTTAGCAGATGCTTAGCGAAGGCTGGGCGTGCCAGCAACACTGGCACAGCATTAGTGAATGAAAGTTTGCAAACACCAAAGTAGGATTTAAATACTACCTGCACATTTAGGTATTCCAGGTTTCCCCAGTCTCTGAACAACACAGGTCACCGAGGACTGAGTTTATGATTATTGTGGACAGAGCCTAGGTCTGCTAATGTTATCTACCCAAGCTGGACATGTATGCTCAATAAAAAGGACCTGTCAACTTGAGGATGCCTCCCTTATCTTTAACACCTGTCAATCATCTGCTTTGCAGGAGTGCTTCCCAGCTACGTGCTGTGGAAGTGGTAACTGCAGAAGCAATCCCAATGACTGGGGGCACCAGCAGCAGAGAGGAAGACACCATCAGCTATCCACCCAGCCTCTGAAACTCAGGAAAACCAGCCAGGCTGAGTCTGTGGCAAAGGAGCCAGCTCTGCGTTAGCTGAAATGGGCCTGGAAGACGCCAGGAGAAAGCCCAGCAGGCCAGCCAGGTCTCTGGCCTGATCTGGACTGTACCTGGCACATCCCAGCGGACCCAGCAGGCTCTCCAGCACTAGTGGATGCTGCCTGGCTGGCTGGCCTCAGCATACAGCCAGCTTCCTAAGGTCCAAGCTGCTGCAGCTCTCCTGGGAGAGGCTGAAGGTCTTCCTGAAGGCCTCCCATTCCCCTCTGACATTGGTTCTGGACCGCTTATCCACTCGACTGTCTACTCCATACCTCATCCTGACTTGCAGTCTACAGAGAACAGGAATGTACTTGGGGCTCTGCAGCCATTACAAGTCTTGTCCTCACTTGAGAAGACACCAGCATTTGAGTTCCTCAGAACTCTCCTGCATGTACTGAAAGGGAGCTGAGAAAGGTAGTAAATGTACTGAGCCAGTGAATCCAGATGTAAAGATTCAGAAGGAAATTGAATTCAGTGCTATTTTATATATATATATGTGTGCGTTTATATTTATACTTCCCTGTTTGTTATGATGTTACATATGATTTATATTTTAAAAGTGTGCCTTGTACAAACAAAATAAAATATCTATTTTCAGTATAAAAATATACTAAAAGAATCACCAAAGAGCAATGTTCCACAAAGGAAAACAGGACGAAGAATAGAAGTGCAGAGTTCAAAATGATTAACCTTGGGTTTTCTTTTTGAAGGGAGGGGATAAAGAACAATCTTGCATAGCGCTGGCACAGACCACAGACGTGGGGTGTTTGTCACGGAGTTTCCATCTGAGGAGAAGCAATGTGATCTAAATAGCAAGTTTGGGCTATTAGATGAGCTATGGTACCCACATTGTTTCTTTCCTTCCCTCCATTATTGTTGCTACTGTTTTGCTGTTAACAATACTTATTCCTGGGCTGGTGAGATGGCTCAGTGGTCTAAAGCACCTACTTAGAACAAGCTTAGCAAAGCACAGGGACTGCGGTTCAATCCCCCAGCACCACA